GGTCTGGGGATCTCGGGCGTTTGTCCGCGACTTGTCTGCGGACAAGCTGTCCCCTCGCGCTGCTCCCTGCGTCTTCCTGGGGTTCCCCCCCGACGCCCCTGGGTGGCAGTTCTACCACCCCACCTCTCGCCGTGTTCTGTCCTCCCAGGACGTCACGTTCGACGAGTCGGTACCCTACTACAGCCTCTTCCCCTACCGCACTCCTTCCCTCCCCCCACCCCCGCTCTTCTTGGTACCAGGTCCCCCCCCGGTAGTCCCCCTCCCCCCTCAGGGTCCTGCCCCTTCAGGTGTGTCCCAGGTAGACGCGGTCGAGCCTGTCGAGGTCACTGGTGACTCTGGTGCTGCTGCTGGAGCTGAGCCTGGGGGTGCGGCGTCTGAGGGTGCTGTGCCTGGGGGTGCTGAGTCTAGAGGTGCCGAGCCTGGGGTTGCGGAGTCTGGGGGTGCTGAGCCTGGGGGTGCGGAGTCTGGGGGTACTGAGCCTGGGGGTGCTGAGCCTGGGGGTGCTGAGCCTAGGGGTGCTGAGCCTGGGGGTGCTGAGCCTGGGGGTGCTGAGCCTAGGGGTGCTCAGCCTGGGGGTGCTGAGCCTGGGGTTGCTGTGCCTGGGGGTGCTGAGCCTGAGGGTGCTTCGTCTCGACGGGAGCCACTCTCCCCACCGGAGCTGCGTGAGTGGTTTGCCAGGCGCTGGAGGCGTGCTGCTGGTGCTGGTGGTTCTTCGGCTGCAGAGGGTACTACTGTCGCGCGTCCCGGCGGTGCTCGTACTTTGGGTGCTGGAGCTGCTGGGTCTGAGAGTTCTCCTGGAGCTGGTACTACTGAGGGGGTTGGCGCTGAGCCTGCCGTTGGCGATCCGACTGCCAGTGCTCCTGGTGCTGCTGCTGGAGGTTCTGGAGCTTCTGGTGGTGCTACTGGTGGTGCTGCTGGAGTGGGTGCTCCGGCCGGAGCTGCTGCTGCTGTTCCTGCTGTTTCTGGCGTCGCCGCGCGGCCCCGACCGTACTTCGTTCCGCTCCTCCAGCAGGTTCTTGGTCTTACACCTCCTCCTCCTCCCTTAGCGGGTCCGCAGCCTGTCCGGTCACAGCCACAGCTACAGCCTGCCTCCCCTTTGCCTGCTCCTTCTCCCTACGCTGGTCGGACTGGAGGTCTTACTGAGCGTCGTGAGCCTGCGTCTCGTCCTGCGTCGCCTGTTCGTCCTGCGCGCGCTAGTGGTCGCGGTTCGCGTCAGCGTCCTCCTCCTGTCCCTGGCACGCACCGGATGTCACTGCGTCCGTCCACTGCTCCTCTGCGTGCCCCTTTGCCTTCTCCTCCTGCTTCCTCTCTTCCTGCTCTTGCCGACCCGGAGTCGGACTCTCTTCGTGCTGCCAGTCCTACTGTCACACGTCTCCTTGCTACTGCTGTCACTGACCCTTCCTTCGAGTCGTCTGCTGCGTCTGCCCTTGTCACTGAGCTTGTAGACTTTGCTGCGCGCTGTCGTCTCGACTACGCTGCTCGTCTTGTCACTGGGTCTGAGTCCGCCTGTCCTCCGTCCGTCGGGGGTGAGTGTGCCCTTGGCACGGACGTCCTTGAGGACAGGCAGGAGGAGTTCCAGTGTCTGGCCGTCGCTTCACCTCGTCTCGCGTCTGTACTGCTAGCCCCTGAGGGAGACCCGGATGCACCAGACATCCCGACTCCGCGCTCTTACGCGGAGGCGATAGAGGGTCCCTACTCCTCTCAGTGGCAGGCAGCTATGGATGCAGAGATGGCTTCCTGGAAGTCCACAGGCACCTACGTTGACGCTGTTCCCCCTCCTCGGGCGAACATCGTCAGTGGCATGTGGATTTTCAGGGTGAAGCGGCCGCCGGGTTCTCCGCCTGTCTTCAAGGCGCGTTACGTGGCTCGTGGCTTCAGTCAGCGGCAGGGGGTTGACTACTTTCAGACCTTCTCCCCCACCCCGAAGATGACCACTCTTCGGGTTCTGCTTCACGTTGCTGCTCACCGTGACTACGAGCTGCACTCTCTCGACTTCAGCACAGCTTTCTTGCAGGGCAGCCTGCACGAGGAGATCTGGCTGCGCCGCCCTCCTGGCTTCACTGGGTCTTTCCCTCCTGGTACCCAGTGGAGTCTCCGGCGTCCAGTGTACGGTCTCCGCCAGGCGCCACGTGAGTGGCACGACACACTGAGGACTACGCTTGCGGCACTTGGGTTTGCTCCTTCCACTGCCGACCCGTCGCTGTTTCTGCGCACCGACACCTCTCTGCCGCCGTTCTACATCCTCGTGTACGTCGACGACTTGGTCTTTGCCACAGCTGACACTGCTGGACTCGCCTACGTGAAGTCCGAGCTGCAGAAGAGACACACGTGCACTGACCTGGGTGAACTGCGCAGCTACCTTGGCCTGCAGATCACCCGGGACAGAGCACGCCGCACCATTACCCTGACTCAGTCACACATGGTGCAGCAGGTCCTTCAGCGCTTCGGCTTCACGTACTCCTCGCCTCAGGCCACTCCTCTGCCTACTCGCCACTCGCTCTCAGCTCTGCCTTCGGATGAGTCCGTAGAGTCGAGTGGCCCGTTTGCAGAGCTTGTTGGCTGCCTCATGTACCTGATGACCTGCACTCGACCTGACCTCGCATACCCTCTTAGCATTCTTGCACGCTTTGTTGCTCCTGGGAGACACCGACCAGAGCACATGGCTGCAGCGAAGAGGGTGTTGCGCTACTTGTGCAGTACGTCGGGCATGGGGCTAGTGCTTGGAGGGCGCAGTCCAGTGGTCCTCACTGGGCACGCAGACGCTTCTTGGGCTGACGACCAGGCTACGCAGCGGTCGTCACAGGGTTACACCTTCAGTCTTGGTTCCGGCTCTGTCTCGTGGCGGGCTACCCGCTCGTCTTCTGTTCTCGGCTCCAGTTGTGAGGCTGAGATCTACGCTGGGGCTATGGCTGCTCAGGAGTTACGCTGGCTCACCTACCTGCTGACCGACCTTGGAGAGCAGCCTCGTTCTCCTCCAGTCCTGTACGTAGACAACAAGGCCATGCTTGCCTTGTGTCGAGAGCAGCGACTGGAGCACAGAACGAAGCACATTGCTCTCCGCTACTTTCTTGCTCGTGAGCTACAGCAGCGTGGACAGTTGCGACTTGCGTACGTGGCCTCTGAGGCCAACACAGCTGATGTCTTCACCAAGGCACTTGCGCCTTGTGATCATCAGCGCTGTTGTACGCAGCTGGGTCTTGTGCCTGTCTTGCCTCACTTGCTCTCCTCTTGACCTTGCTTGTACCTTCACCTATATATACTCTTGCTTGCTCGATTCTTGTATATCTCTATATATGATCTTGCATGTGAACTGGCCTTCTGGCCTTAGAACATGTGCTCGGAATGCGTGGTGACTTTGTGATCCACCCTGAGCTTTGCTTTGCTTTGCTTGACTGGTCTTGTGACCCCTTGTTCTCCCCCACTGTGCCTATGGGGGTGTGTCAGAACATATAGCTTACTTGTTTCTGTAGGCTATAGTGGGGTATCCCATAGGGGGTACAACCCAATTAGGGTTTCCTATTTGTACCCATTTCTGACTTAGTCATTCCATTTTTCCTCTTCTGATTATTTTCACAGCCCGAAGGTCCTCCAGTAGCTCCGCTTGCTCTCGCACGGAGTCGTTGACGAAGGTTGCCGCCGAGAAGGTAAGATTAGAAGAAGGGAGGGGGGGAAGGTTTTCCGTGCCAATAAAATTAACATTGTTGACTGGAGCCTCACCGGCTTCGTCTTCAGAGTCGTCGGTGTCGTTGTCGACCGCTGGAGCAGGGGGAGCGGCAGTCGCTGCGTCGTTGTCATGCCGGTTCGTCCGTGCTCCCCGTGTGCCTTTCTCCTTTTTTGCAGTTTCTTTTTTAGCCGACGCACATGCGGCGGGTAGTGCAGTTTCCGCGGCTGTAACGCTGACGGGTTGCTGCTGTAGAAGGGACAGCAGCGCGTTGACCTGGTCCGGGGTCAACGCCTGCGTCAGCGCAGGGGCGGCGGTCGCGTCAGACGAGGAGACTGCAGTCCGCCTCCTCTGACGCTGACGCGACGGTCCAGCAGCGGGTGCTGGCGTGTGCTCGGCGTCAGTCGCGTGTGCCGCGCCAGTCCCCGTCGCCACTTGCGCCACAGGTGCCACTGGCGCCACAGGCGCCACTGGCGCCACAGGGACCGAAGGGTGCTGCTGGGTTTCGGCGTTTTTGTTGACCTCGAGCCCGCCCAGCAGCACGTCCACTGCAGTCGGGGCGGAAGGTCCGTCTTCTGCCCGACGCTTGTTACGGCGTTCGCCCGCAGAATCGCGGGCGTTACGGTCGGAGTCGGAAGCGGGGGTTGATGAGTTCCCGTTGTTAAGTGTCGGCGTAGGTGCCATCGTTGAGCGATTGAAGTTGAAAATGTCGCTGAGTAAAGTAGAGGGTGACTCGCCTCTAGGAAGCGATTTAATCCTAGCCAGCTTGGAGGGAAAAACTACTCGAGCGGAAAATGTTGAGTGAACCGTTTGAAAATTGAGAAACGTGGGTGGAGGGAAATGAGCTCCAACCCACGGTTTTTGTAGTTGGAGAAGGGCGTTTAGCGCGCTTCGACGATGCCAATTGTGCAGTACAAGCAGCTTCGCTTTCACAATACACAATTTTAAAAAACACTACATGTGTGTTTAAAAATTATAATGTTAATGCATCTGACAACTCCTTGTTGAAAATGGGCATAGGTGACGAAGAATTCATGAATAATTCCATTTTCGTCCATGTAAGCCTTCAAATATTTGCTCTTGAATTTAGGTGCATGAGGGTGCAGCTGAAGTGTGTGTTGTTGTGCCACACTCTGAGGACTTGATATGCTTTGCTTCTATGCAAGACGTTGGAAACCCAGATGAAGCAAGAGTGTGTCTCAAAAAATGAGCAAGTAACGATAAGTATCACAAACAACAGGGCAGTCCCTTGGGCCCCCCAAAGCAATCAGGAGGCTGGAATGATGCATACAATGCAACAATGTCACCACATATGAACCACGATAACCCCATCCCAATCCTAGACTGGGTGTTCAGAGATGAAGCTGCACCTATCCTCAATCATTTGAATTTGTGCCTCCAGGCTGTCCTCACCCGCAACAGCATCCTTCATCTCCTGGACCTGCGCATCCACCTTGATGGCAGCGCCAGATTCCTCTTTCCCCAACACCTCCTCCCTGACAGCCTGCAGCTGGGTGGCAATGTGCGCCATGCTTGGGCGGCTTGCAGTGCGCTCCACGGTGCAACTCACTGCCAGCTCAGCCAAGCGCTGCACAACATCCCCAGGGGCGTCCATGGTGGGGTGCTTGAGGCTTTCTAAACCACCCGATGACAGGCACTCGGATACCTGAGAGAGTGGAACAGGATGGACAAAATTGCAATTTTGTAAAGGTGAAATGCACATCAGTCAGCCTATTAAGAAGAATATATCACTTCAATCGGAAGAATGAGATTATGGCAACATGAAACAAGCTTCCTGAGTGGAACTTACCCACACCACGATGTGCTTGGTCTCCCCAGCATCCTCGAAAAGTGAAAACCGTCCAGTGAGCACCACAAGCATGAGCACACCAAAGCTGCAACGTGCAAGAGGTGGTGAGAGCAATGTGATGGTGAGAGCACGGCAATGGTGACATGCATATGACAACTCTATTGTGTGAATCCAAATAACCTGTTGAAGATTTCAGTGGTGTTCCATGACATGCTTGTTCCAGGTGCAAGTTTGATGCATAAGCCAATATCGACATGACATCTGACAGGTTACTGCCACTCTTTTAATTCCTGGGAGTCTTGTTTATTTGAGCCAACTCCCAGAGTCTTCTGGCTCACATAGCACGATCTCTATATGGCTCTTTGCTCACCTGTAGACATCGCTGGCTGTGGTGGCCTTGGAAGTCCGGTTGTAAACCGGATCCACATAGCCCGGTGTTCCCATGATTCGAGTCGTGCCCACTGTCGTGCCCTCTTCCACCCTCACCAGCCCAAAATCTGCAATCTTGGGCTGATGGGTGGTTGGATAAATGTGATATTAAGAATGCACCAGCACAAAAGAAAGAAACAACAATGGTGACAAAACAAACGACATACGCTGGTTGCATCCAAACACAAGAAACACGAACGTGTAAGTGAGCGTGAGCCATATGCAGAACTAGATAAAAAGCGAGACTAGATGAGCCAAACTAGAACAACCAATTATTTTGGCATAGCTCTGCCTTTTCCTATCAACTCTCGTGGCTAGTTGCTTTCCACAGAAGCATCTTGTTATGCAGTGTGAGATGCTGCAACCGCGCTTGCCTGCATGTCGCTGGTGATGAGGATGTTGGCGGGTTTAATGTCGCGATGCACAATGCCAAAGCTATGGAGGTACTCAAAGCCACGTGCAACACCAATGAGGATGTCTAGCCGTTGCTTCAGACTCAGAGAAAAAGGTGCATCTGCAACAAGCCACGGGATGAGTTTCACGACAAGCATCACCAGGCAGCATGAGTGGCCTACCACGAGTAACATTGTACAAGGGAATGCGAAACAACAACTTGCACACTTACTTGGTCCTATCCACATATGGAGGTCACCATTGGGCACAAACTCGTAGATGAGGACTTGGTCTATCTGAGACCTGACGTCCCCTCCCACCGCAAACCCAAGCAGTCGCACAATGTTGGGATGGTTCTTGTCGGCCATTTGTATGACCTGGAGGAAGTGAGAACCGGCACACGGGAACAGGAGGAAGGCGGCAGGAAAGAAAGAGTAGGTTGAGAAGAGAAGGAGGAACAGTGATTCTGCTCGCTCAGCTTAGGGAAGCTGAATAGTCCTGATCAAACTAGATAGCACATTCTTAGATGAAGCGTCCTTCTGTTTGAAAGTAATGGAAGACTGAATTGTCTTATCCCCATGTTGACTGACGGAGTCTGTAGTCCAGCCATCTCCCCATATGCGGCACTCACCTCCCCCTGGAATTCCGCGCCCATGAACTTGGCGCGCTTCACAGCCCAGGGTGTGGTGCCATCACAAGGACAGACGCCCTTGTAGACATCACCAAAGGCACCCGAGCCAAGCAGGTTGTCCTGAGACCAGTCGTTGGTGGCCCTGAGGACGTCCTTTAGCGAGAACTCCTTGCAGTGCGCCACTGCCAGGCTGGCCCCTGGGCATGGCGGTGGGGTGGGGGGCGAAGAGTGAGGAGGTAATGAGCGAGCCCTCGCCTTGTCTTGCCTTGTTGTTATCGAGCACACGCATATAAAATGAGTAGACATGAAGAGGAACCATCTTAACAAGGAACGTTGAGAAGGTGTGGAGGTGGGAGCTGAGCTGAACACATGGAGAACCAATCCTGCTTCTCCTACATTTTGAGCTTTGCCGCTTCTGGTGCCTGAAGCAGAGCAACATGGCAGCCAGAAGCAGGAGGAGAACGACCACAGCAGCAACAGCAATGCCGATGATGCCTCCCACTGATACACCCCCTCCACCTCCAGATGCTGCTGCTGCTGCATGAGCACAACAAAAGCATGTCAGCTGAGCAAAGAGATTCGATGTAATCTGAGCAAAGAGAATGAACTGCCATTCACAACAGCACAAGCATGGTAGAAGTGGGGGTGATTCAAGTAAACTAGGCACCGCTTCATGAACCCCACTAACCTGTTTCTTGCTGGCATGCAGAACAGGTGGTGCCACAATCTTGGCAGAAGGCCGCCTTTGGCGATAAGGTTTGGGCGCAGGTGGTGCTGTCAGCAGCAGGACAAGTGAGGCTGGTGCCAGATGTGTTGCTGCAGTGGAAATGGGCAGATCGGCACAGGAGAGAATATGCTTGGGCAACTTGTGTGCGGATGGTTGCATGCACAAGACAAGAAACAGATTTAGATAGCTGTCAACTAGGCATGGCTAAACCGAACCTTGGTTCGGTTTAGGCAAACCGGTTCGTGTGGAACCAAAGTAGAGTTATGTTTTTATCTTTTTGGTTTGACAAAATCCTGTTAGGCCAATTTGACCTGTTTGATCTCTGCTCGGAGGGGCAACTTGAGTGCAAGTTCAAATTCAGGTAAGAAATGGGGATTGGAGATCATTTTCAAGCTTTAAATCCTTATTAGCTATCTCCTCGTCACTAAACGGGGCCATCGTCCGTCAAATTGGATGTCCGGACCAAGCCTCGTTCACACCGCACAGTGGATGTCCTGTGAGTTTAAATACCACATTGATTTGCGGAGGTTGAGTTACAAGAAAACAACATCAACATTTCACAGATGCCCAAAACTTTATGCGTCATCCCAACAGCCATCGTGTTCGACAGCCCGGTTTTATTTGTTTTCTTTGGTCGTGACGACTTCGCGATTTCGTCATGCGCCATGTCGGAATCTCCCTTCAGCCCTGCTCAGTACTGCCTCTCTCTGCTCCTCCTCTCATGCCTCTTCCTGCTGCCTTCTTTTTGCTGCTTCCACAACCCTCCTTCCTCACCCTTCCCTTCCTGCCCGCCCTTGCTCACTTGACTCCTTACCCCACTTTCTGCTTTCCCTTATTTCTGGCTGCCATTGATTCAACCCCCTTCACATTCGAGTCCCCTCCTACCCCATTCGAGTGCTTGTTATGGCTCCGCCTTCTACTGTTTAGCTTCAAGAATATAGCACAGTAAGAAATGGAAACATACAAGCAATGGCAGTCCCATGGCCCGCACGACCCTTGTCTACCTCATCCTATCCTAGGCTTGAAGAGGAAACTCAACGAATGTTCCTTCTAGATCTAGGCCAGCAAGATTTTCTAACCACATCCAGCTGGTTACAGTGACTTCCAGCTTCGCACGGGCTCGGCGTTTGCAGAAAAGAAAACACAAAAAATGCATGCACTTAAGCACCAATCATTCGCCACCCCCAATGTAACCCTTTTTCACAGTCCTGTTACCGCCCGGCTGCCACACTTGCACTTTGCCACCCTCTCCTGTCAGGTTGCCCCTTTCCGAACCCCAACTGCCAGGCTTGGCCCTTCCGCCCTCTCTCCTTAGATGCGTCTTGCTTACGTACAAATGTACACCACTCCAACGTACACCGCTACACTTCCCTGTCATATAGCTCTGGTTATTAACCATAGTTTTCTGACAGCCAAATTTTGGCTATTAAGTCATGGATGGCACAGAACACGAGCGGCAGGAGCCTCCTCGCAGCAGGGGCCGCACGCACACTGGAGGAGTTGTGCTATGAGGCCGATGACGATGGGTTTTGAGATCTGGACCCGAGACTAGACACCTTCTAGTAATGTTGGCGCCGGCATCAGCAATGAGAAATCAGTGGGAAACTCTTCGAATGCGGCGATTGTGTAAGAATCGGTTTCCACTCATTCCAATACTGCGAATATTCCGAGGAAGAAGTAAAAGGGAAGCTGGTGGAGTGTCGCTCATGTAACCACACTATTAGTCATAGCCATGGTCGTTGCACTATGCATTTCACCAAGTGGCCAAACTAAGGATGCCACGAAGTGCGAATTTGTCCGACCGTTCTCAAGGAGGTGGAGAGAGCTACTCGTGAAGCAGCAAGTACGAAGACTGCTGGGGGCTGAGAAGGCGAGAGCGGGGAGCGCCACGATTTCTTCGGTTGGAGGGCACACCCCTAACAAGCAAAACGCTATGGATTACTTAAGGGAGAGGTGGCCGCGAAGATAACAGCGACGGATGAGGCGATATGCCTGTACCATGCTGCACTGCACCTACACGAGGGGCACGCCGAGCACCCGTTCGTTTGCCACATGGTGCCGACAATCGTTGTAGTGGGGAGCCTTTACTTCCCACCAAAGGCGTTGTGTTGGAGGTGCAGCTCTGCAGCAGCGTCGCAAGCGGCTCGGGTCTGCATTGTCGCCAGTGGAGGCTAAGTTGGAATGCACGCTGTTTGGATATGATACGCTAGCATAGATACGCTGAATGTTTCTTGGGAGAGGTCCGGTACGCAGTGGATACGCAAGCACATAAAAAGTGAGGAATGCCAGACAGCAGTGATGTGCACACAGCATGCAGAAAAGCTACGCAGCTTACAGGTAGTCCAATTGAGCAAGACTCCCAAGTGTGGCTGGAATGATTCCGGAAAGTTCATTTTGGTGCACATCCCTGTACAGAAGAGCACAACATGATTAGTATGGACATCTAGAGGAGCGGTTGAATACACAAGGTTAAAATTGTGTAGCACTTATAAGTTTTGCTAAAGCAACGAAAGCGTGAATTCAATCAAGACCAGCCAGATGGTTGGTTTAGCAGGTAGGAAAGATGCAGTGGCTGGAACTTATAAGGATTGATTGGTTTGAAATTGCAATAGCAAAACGACCAAATGCAGAGGACTGAATGAAATTGCTGAGGTTGAGAATCAGTAATCGTAGTTTTGAGTTCTGCCGATTCAGGGATTTGAGTTCTGCCAATTCAGGGATTTGAGTTCTGCCAATTCAGGGATCTGAGTTCTGCCGATTCAGGGATTTGAGTTCTGCCAACTCATGGATTTGAGTTCTGCCAATTCAGGAACAAAAGGAGAATCTGAAGTACAACAGCAGGGATGAACATGAAGTCACAATGCGATTCAGCGTGCAGAGGAGGGGAGGAGTGGGCATGCAGAGTGCATGGGCAGTGGAGGAGTGTCAGCAGTGATGCGCACATGGCATGCAGCACCCAGTGGACAGATCAGCACGCAGGTGGAGCAAACCCAGTGTGCGGCTTACAGTGTCCCGAGATATAAGAGTTCCGAGATGCTGTTGGGAATGGAGCCGGTGAGGGAGTTAGAGCTCAGATCCCTGTGTGGGTGAGGGAGTTGGACGTGGTGAGGCGAGAGGCTCAGAAGCCTATCCACAAAGGGTGGCAGGGACTTAAAATGATTGATCACTTTGGAAGGGCTATTGCAAGAAAAGCGGGTGCACAGGAATGACAGAGATTGCAAAGATTGACTCTGTAGTTGCGGTATTGAGTTTTGCAGAAGCAGTAAACATTTGAGTAAATTGACAAGAACAAGAAGTTGAATAAAAAAAATGAAGGAGCAATGTGCTGAAGACACCAGAGGGGGTGCAGAGTGGCCGTACAGAGTGCATGGGCAGTGGACGAGTGCCGGCAGTGATGCGCACATGGAATGCAGCAACCAGTTACCAGTGAACAGAGCAGCCCACAGGAAGAACAGTGTGCCACTCACAGGTATGTGACTACCGTGAGTGCGGAGATGCTGCTGGGAATGGAGCCTGCGAGATAGTTAGAGCTGAGATTCCTGTGTGGGGTTGAGTTGAGTGATTCGGACGTGATGAGACGAGAGGCTCACACCCCGTTTACATAGGGTGGCTGGAACTTGGAAGGATTGATTAATCAGGAGCATCAGCAAGGCAAACAGATGCAGAGAAGAGACCGAGATTGTACAGGTTGAGATTGTGTACTGGCGGGAATGAGTTCAAAACAACACGTAGGTTCAACGAAGTACAGCAAGTAGGTTGGTGCAGTAGGGCAGAACAAGGAGTGGCAAATGGATGCAAACGGCAACGGATGGAACCAGTGTGTTGAGTGCATGGGCAGTGGAGGAGTGCCAGCAGTGATGCGCACATGGCATGCAGCACCCAGTGGACAGAGCGGCACGCAGGTGGAGCAAACCCAGTGTGCCTCTTACAGAGATGCGAGTGCTTTGAGCGCAGAGATGCTGTCGGGAATGGAGACGGTGAGGGAGTTAGAGCTCAGATCCCTGTGTGGGTGAGGGAGT